TGAGGGAGAGACGCGGGTAGGGACTTGCTCCGCCCCTTGCCCGCGGGGTTCGGACGCGTTCCGACTCTGTCCCTTACTCCCTCAGAACTAAGCTGGCGCCTCCAAGGTGGGCCGCGGGGAGGGATATCCCGCTTATTCGGTCTAGAACGGCAACTTCGAGAACTCCAGGCAGAGGCCGGGCAGACACGGGGAGCTCTAGAGATGTTGGAAACGCGCCTTCAAGAACTTCAGCCCCAGACCGGGTGAGACCCCCTCCCATGCCGGTCTGGAAGCGTGAGGCGGGGCCAGGGCGGCGGGAAGCCCTATTGGATGCGTGACGTCGTCTCTCCGCGCCAGGACTCGGCTGAATGCCTGGCGGGATGCTGAGCTCAATTGTCCCGTGCTGCAGGTCAACCCAGGAACCTTAGCTGCGGAGATCCGGTGAGGTCCGGTGCGCGGGACGGGCCAGGGACGGAGTGCTGATCATCCTGGGAAGACTGTCTTACTTTCTTTCTGTACCCACCCCGCTCCCTAGGGCCCTGCATGAGGCCTACATGCGAGGCGGGGGCCGGGACCCCGGTGTTCTGGGCAAGATATGGCAGTTACAAGTGGAGGCGTCAGCACTGGAACTGCGGCGGTCGCAGAATCGCAGGGGTGAACAAGAGGGATCAAACAGGAGGGCCTCTCCGCAGCGGTGGTCTTAGACCTGGGAGGAGAAGAGGGCGTGACGGAAGACGTCATTGGCGTAGGAGCCACCTGAGCAAAAACCCCGAGGTGTAGAAATCCTGGGTGGTCTTTGTGACAGTGGCTAGAATGTGAGCTGAAAGTCAAAAGACTTGTCCGGAGAGCTCTAAACACTGGAGACCTGCTCAGATCCGGACCGTCGTGGTCACCAGAGATCAAAGGTAACAGGTGAGACTTGTTCTTCGCAGATAAAGCAAGTGCAGCCTCGGGGGAGCTTCTAGTATTGGAAGCAGAAAACCGGCGCCTAGAGGAGAATATCCTGGCCTTGCAGATGCAGAGATGCCGGGCCCAGACGTTTTGGGGTCAGTGAGCACCCCAACTTCATTCCAGCAAACCTAACTCAGGAGAAGGGGTGGAAGGATGATTCCCGGGGAATGAAACCCTAGTTTGTGCCCCCCTCAGTTCGTGTCCATGCAATCTCCATGTGTCCGTGTGTGTGTCTCTGTGGCTTCTCAGTACAGTTACCTGCTTCCTCTGATGCAGGGGAACCCTAAGTCTTCCTCTGTTCCTAGGGCCCAGGGAGGCACAACTCCTGGCTGGTCCCTGCACAAGTCCATGGGGAAAGGGAAATCCCCCACACCTCCCTCCACCGGTGGCACCCCCACTGCCACCACTTCCAGGCTCCACAAACGTCCAGTTCTCGGGTGGTGCAGAAAAGGCTGTGAGGACCCAGGGATGCCAGGATGGGGTGAGGGGGAGTTGGGGGATGGTTCGGCTCTATGTGGTCAGGGGAGCATGGGCAGCTTGCAGACTTTCTGGAGAAGTCAGCTCACTTCCTCACAGCCACCACTTCCTGGAACCATGACAAAGAACCTGAGTCTGGACCCACACTTCCTTTTACCCACATCTGATGTGCTGGGCCCTGCACCATACGACCCTGGGTGAGGCCTGCTCCCTCCTTGGACAACCCCTTTCACTTGTCCACTAATAAGTTAAGGAGAACTCCTAGGGCTGTCCAGTAGACTGGGTAGAGGGAGGGTGAGAGGAGGAGGAGAGAGGGAGTGAGAGGAGTTTGATGTTTATGTACTCTGACTTGTGTCTCCTAGGGCTGGCTTGTTCATTTTCTATGACTTCCTGCGAGGCCTTGATGCTTCTTGGATTTGGGTGCAACTACTGACTGGCTTGGCCCGAGATGGACAGGATACAGGAGGGACCACAGCATTGCCCCCAGCCTTTTGCTTGCCCCCACCTCCAGCTCCTGGGCCCATGGGAAACTGTGCCATCCTTGCCAGCAGGCAGCCTGTGCCCAGGTCAGTTAAATGGGGTTTGTGACTTTGGTATTCTTGCCACAATTGAGTATGCCCCTCATCCTGAGTTTTCTCATCTATATAAAGGCCATTCATTGGCTCTGAGGGTTAAGTCCTAGGAAGTGTTTAGGAGGGGACTTCAACTCTGGCCTCTGACATTTTGATTGTTCTTCAGGCTGCTGCCATCACCGTCAGTATCTTTGGTGTGTGAGCTACAAGCCTGGCAGGGGTTGGCATGGGCTAGGGCACCACAGCCAAAGGCTTGGGCCTCACTGGTGCTATTTGACCGGGATCAGCGTGTGCTAAGTGGCCGTTGGCGCCTTCCACTTCGGGCTCTTCCTGTGGACCCCCGCCTCAGCTTTGGGCAGCTGAATGGGATTCCCCAGGTCAGTGTGGAGGGTGGGGATAAGGTCTACTCCAAGGTACAGATAGAGTACCATTTCATCTCTCTCCAGGCAGGTCAGACTGAGCTCTTTCTGCGGCTGGTGAATGCAAGAGATGCAGATGTCCAGACATTGGCAGAGATTAATCCAACAAGTGCTCATGAGTACCAGTACCCACCGGTGAGGGCCCAGTTATAGCTAGAGGCAATACAAGTGGGTGGTTAATAGCCAACTGTTATTGATACTATGTGCCAGTTACTAACTGTTATTGATACTATGTGCCAGTTACTACCAATTGCTTTCTGTGCTTAATCCTCACAATCATCTGTTAGATAATGCAATGTAAACAAAATCAAAGCAAGAATTTACCAAGTTAACACTACCTTTTATTCACAGTAAGTTGATTCTAAGGTAGTTCAACTCTAGAACTATGTTCCTTACCTATTTTTAGATTGTTGAAGAACCTGCTTATTTTCCACAGGTATCCATATCATCTTCACTGGAAACAAGTTCCCTCAGCCCCAAGGCTGGCTTTGCTGATCCCCCACCTCCTACAGAAGAGTCCTTTGGCAGAGTCAAGACTAAAGATGAAAGTTTGAGCTATGACCGACCCCAACAGGGGAGCTAGAGGGAACATGAGGCTTATTCCCAGACCTGTAGCTTTTACTACTCCATAAAGTTTAGAAGCAAATGAGCTTGTGAATTCTAACCACATCTGTATCACCTTTGGCAAGTAGTTGATCTTTCTCCAACTGTTTTCTTTTGTAACCATTTACTGAGGATTAAATGAATCTGTCAGGTATTTACAATATTACCTGGCACTTTCTTTTTGTAAAAGCCAACTTTAGTGCTAAATTTCATGTCAGATTCATCAGGATTTTTTTTTTTTTTAGTACTGAGGTTTGAACCCAGGTTACTCTACCACTGAGCTACACCCCCAGCCCTTTGATTTTTCACTAAATAGCCTGGGCCGGCCTCAAACTTGCAATCCTCTTCCCTTCCAAATAGTAGGGATCATAGCCAGGCATGTCTTTCTAATGACTTTTGCCTAGAAGCCTTTCAATAAAGAGAGAATTCCTGAGGCTTTAAAGAGAGATTCCAAATTAAGGCCCTAAGGCAATAATGTTATAGTTGAGAAAATTCCATATTGGGACTTCAAGACCTGAACATACAAACATAAAAACATCTCTAAGAAGGAAATTCAGTCAAGATAAGCCAGATTCTGAAAACGTGAGTTAATGACCAGCATCAAGACCTGAACACACAACACAAAAGCATCTCTAAGAAGGAAGTTCAGTCAAGATAAGCCAGATTCTGCAAATGTGAGTCAATGACCAGCCCAGAGAGACATTTTCTCTTGTATTAAGAAAATCCCTTGTAATCAGTGGCTCAGGAAGGAGGCTGAAGGAGGATTGCAAGTGCAAAGCTGACCTCAGCAATTTAGCTGGGCCCTAAGCAATTTAGCAAGACCCTGTCACAAAATAAAAAAGGGCTGAGGAGGGCTGGGGTTGTAGCTCAGTGGTAGAGCCCTTGCCTAGCATGTGTGAGGCCCTGGGTTCAGTCCCCAGCACCACTTAAAACAAAGGTATAACAAAGGTTTTGTGTCCATCTACAACCAAAAATATTTTTAAGGGGTGGGGGGGGGAGCACCTAGGATATGACTGGTTAAGTACCCTTGCATTCAATCCCCAACACTTAAAAAATAACCACCTTTAAAAAATGGGGTTGACTTGGGAGTCCTATATAGCTCCCTCAGCCTTTGATACTGGGTTGTTAAAACAGGAGATTCTAACTTATTAAACTAAGGGCTGTTGGCTGTTTCTCACACAAACCCTGTGCCCTGGACAACAGGCTTACATTTTGTTGTGTCTTGACCATCATCATCCCTGGAATCCAAAATTGGGATCCAAAAATTGCTGAGCCATTTTTTTTGCTCTTAGCCCCATATCTCATACTGAAAAGCTCAAAAACTCCAGGCAGCTCAGGATCCCATTGAAAGATCTTTAAGCACAATGCAAGACCAGGAGCTTTTTATTCACATCTTTATTTTGAGAAGTCAAAACTACAGACAGTGTAACAATTCCAAGTTTAGATGTTTTTCAATCTTTCTATACAGTAAATATCAAAACCAGCCAGCCTTCCCCCCAAACACACATTTTTCCAACCACATGTTGTCCATTATGTCAGTCACAGCCCCTTTTCTCTATATAGTTCCACAGGGATCACTTTCTCCCCCAAGTCTTCTTCAGAATTCTTTTTCCAGGATAGGATATAACCCTAGATGGAGATGAGGTAAACTGAAGACAGGTACCACCAAAGGCCTGTTAGTCCATTTACAGCACCAAACAGCAAGATCGTCACCAAATCTTGTTTTTGTAGCCCCCATCCAGGGACAGCACCACAAAGTCTGCAAGACAACTGAGTTCAGTCGAGTAACTTGATAAATATAGCACCGATGGAAAGGAAAGGCCTATAATCACACTTAATTTATCACTTCCACATCAGACAGGAGTTGGCATTAGAACTTCCAACAGAGATCAATACAGAAGTGGGGAGAAAAAGTACCTTTGGCCACTATAATATAAAACCTAGAGTGCCCCAAGGCATGGATTCAGCCAATATTTAAGAAAAAAACCATCAAAGCCTCAACCTTTGCTTACAATCTTTATTGAAGTTATACAAAAAGAATCCCCAAAAGTGAAAAAATACATTATATACAAAAACACTCTCTTGGGAGGAAGGTTCTGTTCCCTCTCAACATGCAGTGCTTTCAACTGTAGCTCCAGCCTCCAATGTCCCCTCCACTGCTGCCCGGCTTTCTGCCCGATTCTCAGCCTGAAAAACAAACAGGGAGCCTGGGCTTCAGTAACCTGGTTTAAACAAAGCCATCTTATACAAAAAACAGGTTTCAGGCAAGAGGAAATAAACACAGGTCTTCCAACTCTTTGTTCTCTACACAGTTATCTGTACCAATAATCATACACTGCATTTTGAAAAAGATAAGCAGAAATGATCTTGCTGGCAAGGCTCAAGGTGGGAGCATGCACTTAGGAGTACTGATTTCTCCAATCCTTGAAAAGATGAGGGAAGAGGCCAATCCCTGCTTAACTGCCCACCTCTTCCTCCTCCTCCATGTTTTCGGAAACTTCATTTCCACCAGGGACAGCATCCCCGCTGCCTCCATTCACCTCTGGCTCCTGTTTGGCTTTCTTTGCATCATCTTTCCGGGGGCTCTCTTCTTCTGGTTTCCTCTAAAGATATAATTGTGAAGACTTCACAAATGTGCTTAACGTTTTTAAAAATACAACTTACAAAACACTTCCCTGTGGTACAGTAGGACTCACGGCTCTGTCTCTCCACCTAGCCACAAGGGGCAGATACCAATTTGTATTGTGCAAAATAAAATTGGTCTGTCCCAACATATTCGTTGAGCCTCCTGACTAAAGGAAAAGTAGTGTAACTAGGATGAGGAGCAGAGATGTGAACATCTGGGGCTGGGTACAGCTCAGTGGAACAGCACTTGCTTAGCACTAGCACCACACAATACAAGTAGAGAACAAGAGATGTGTATAAATTCCAGTACATGAGCCAGGAAACAAAGCAAGAAATAAAGAGACTCCCCACCCAGAGAAAAGAACTGTTGAAGTAACAAGCAGAAGAAGGCAAGCAGGAGTTCATGTATCAGGTCTCTGATGAACAACTTCTGACAAAGAAAACCTACTGGCTTCCAAAATCTGACTGATCTTCATAGTCCTTGGGCCATAGGAGTTTTCTAAATGAGGTAAACATTCACACGAAAATTTACCTTCTTTCTGACAAGGTGGGAAATATCAGTTACACAATTTGATGAGGAAGCACCATCTGTTGGTTTTCTACTGGCAATCTGACCCAAAAAAAAAAAAGGCTTTGTTAGCAATGTACAAACTATTGAGACAATCAGTGAGGCCTAATATTAAGTGACAAACACCTGAATGAATACCCACCATGGAAACTGAAGAACCTCCTCCACTACAAGTGAAACCTGAAGTAGAACTCTCCACCTGTGAGAAAGATGACAAATTCAAGTAGGTTCCCAGAGAGAACCCAGGTCACTCAGTTTTATAACAGGTACCCATCACAATAGCTGATTAATAACACTTGAAATCCTAATGACGGCCATTTAGTAGGCAAGATCTTTCACACATTTGGGATTAAAAGCATCATTTATCCATATCGTGTCATCTCAGAGATAGAAATAATAGCTTATATTTACTAAGCAATTCCTATTTGTGTGGTACTATCAAGAGTACTTTACACATAGATACTATGATCCCTATTTTACAGATAAATCAACAATGGCAGAAAAATACCTTTGGTCATACAAACTGCACAGACAGAATTCCAAAATAGACAGTATGAATCCAGGCAGTCTAGCTCCAGAATATTTGCTAACCACTGTACTATTTGACAGGAATAAGTAGATGAATTCTCATATTCTCTCTGACCACCAACTACCAGAAACCAAGTTCCTAGCAAATGGAACATTAACAGTACCACAAATGCTATTATGAAAACTTTAAAAAGAAAATGAACGGACCAGAGTAGCTTTCAGAGCCAATTCAGCTACATTCCCACTATGCTGGGACTCTTTCGCATCTTCTATTTTCTCTCTAATTTCAGGTAGTAATTCCTTCAACTCCTCAATTTCTTTCTCATATTCAGTAGATGATCCTTCAGCCTCCTTCATCTGTTCATTTAGTACAGCTACAAAGAAGACGCATAAAAATTACCATAAAAGAATTTTTTTTTGGAGAAGGGTCAATTGCTGGTAGCAGCTTCTACTCACCCATTCTCTTCTCAATGACTTCAATAGATTTGTTGAACTGTGCCACTGCCTCGTCATACTGAGAGTTATATCCATAGGCCAAACCAAGCTGGTAGTGAGTTTCTGCAAGAAGACGATCATGGGCTTCTAGATAATGCTCTTGCAGGTTTAGGCAAGCCTGGAACTCCTCCACAGCTTGGATATAGTTCTCTAAGAAAGAAGAACAAGAATTGCCAGCACTTGTATGAAGTAGTTGCAGAATTCAGACCTGTTCTGCAGGAATATACCCATTTTGCTTTCATTTTTGTTATTATCTACAGGATCCTTGGCTATGTAGAATGACAGAATGGCTTTTTAAAAGACCTGACAGGTGCTGGGCTTGTAGCCCAGTGGAAGAGCATGTGCTCTACACATTTGTGAGGTCCTGGCTTTGATCCACAACACCAAAAAAACAAAATCCTACTGAAAGATCAGAGTTATTAATTAATTAAAAGATTGTTCATTGGGCTGGGGATGTGGCTCAAGCGGTAGCGCGCTTGCCTGGCATGCGTGCGGCCCGGGTTCGATCCTCAGCACCACATACAACCAAAGATGTTGTGTCTGCGAAAACTGAGAAATAAATATTAAAAATTAAAAAAAAAAAAAGATTGTTCATTGTTCTAGGATCATAGGAAACTCAAACCTACTATATTTTCAATGTCAACTACCTAACTATAATCAATCAAGCTGAATTACAGAGAATCTATTAAAGGAGGAATGGGAGAGTGAGGGACGTTAGAAAGTAAAATGAAAATGCATTACCAGATTCAACACTAACTTCTCCAAGTTTAAGATGTGCCTGTGCAGCATAAAGCTGGGCTTCTTTTGTTTCTTGCCTAAAAGAAGGAAACTGATTAGAAATCTTAATAATACTTAATGGCTTTCTTAATAATACTAATGGCTTTCTATTTATTTTCAACCAAATTCCCATCCTAAGAAGCAACAAGAGTTTTACCTTTTAAAAATGATCTTTGCTAAGTCCAGCATATCCCAAGCAAGCTCTAGGTTCCCAATCTCCTCTTCTTCATTTTCTTGAAGAGACTAAATATCCAAATCATTGTTATTAGGCATAAGTATAAGACAAGCATTTTTCTACAGTATAAATCTAAATGTATAATCTATTATGACTTGAAAAAGTTATTTGCAATTGAAAATTCAGACTTTCTCCCCAAAAAATTTGCAGAATGGGTAAAAAAGTTTTCTCTCCTGATTCTCTTTATGTCAGTAATATGTTGGATACTGTCATAATAGACAGGAAGCCCTAGGAATCAAAAGATCTGTCCATGGCCGTGGGCACTGGGCGGGGGGGTGAGGGGGGAGTATTGGGGACTGAACTCATGGATGCTCTACCACTGAACTATTATCCACCCCATTCTTTTTATTTTTTTTAATTTAAGACAGGATCTTGCCAATTTGCTAAGGCTGGCCTTAAACTTGCAATCATCCTGCCTCTATCTCCTGAATCATTGGGACTACAGGTACTTGGCACCCAGCTCAGATCTGTCCATTCTAAGCATGGATAGAGTCCTGATTCCTTACCAGGAGTGGGTATCTACAATAATCATGCCTACAGGTGTTAACGACAATCCTATAATAAGAGCAGATTACAGTATCAAACAATAACTTACCTTATTTTCAAGAATTGATTCATTTGGTGTTTCTTCTGCCTTGTCATTTTCTTTATCTTCCTCTTCTGAGCCTTCAGTTTCTACAAGCAAGAATTCCTCATTATTGAAAACGTTAACTAATGATACCTTCTGACTAGTCAGAGATTCCAGTAAACATCAGTCAACCTACATTTTGAGACAGGTTAGGCTAGATTCTAATCCAGTTAACATCTGATCTGATTCTAAAGTCAGTGGTTTCAATCTAATTCAAGTTTAATCTAGACTTAGAATGTGTAACCTTACAGTGTATGGGTTAGACCTTGACAGTTAAAAGCCTAAAGCATTTCCTTGTAAAAGTTAACCTAAATCATTCTGAATGAGACTGACTTAGATACTGTCTCATTGGCTAGAGGCTCCAATTTACTCAGTCAAAAGCAGATAGAGGCCTCAATCAGTGTTTCTGGGGTCTTTAGGTGACTCGTTAGACAATACTAGTAAGCTCAGAAAATACCAAAAGCTAAATTATTCCAGTTCATTCAGAACAAGAATATGCAAGAGACTAGCTTTCCCACAATAAAGCTGTGGGGAAAAAAAAAAGCATAGCTCTTACCAACTCTTGCCAATGAGCACGCCACAGACTCCAGCCAGCTCAAGCACACAGAATTTAAGTGAGCAAACCAGGTATTTTAAATGATTCCATTTAAATTTGTAGTCATATCAACACTATTTCCTCATATTGAAATCCACTCATAAGTCAACTGCATGAAGAATACATTCTCAGTGATAAGATAGCTTAAACTTCAAATGTTGAGTGATTAGAATGGGCTTTCTGTTGTTACAATTCATGAATTGGCTTAATCCATCTCTCATTTTTTTTTTTAAAAAACAGTCTCAGGCTGGTTTCAAGCTCCTGGGCTCAGAGATCCTCCTACCACAGCCTCCTGAGTATCTGGTATTACATGCCCATGCCACCAGCAAAAGATCTCAAATACTGTCTCCTAATAACCTAAATACAGCAATTAGGCCTTAGAGCCAAGAAGTCAGGTTAAAGGAGTTTTATCTAAAGTAACAGTGCTTTATGGTGGAAAACAGGCACAGAAAATTCCTATGTATTAAAAATTATTGTAATGAACTAAAGTCCTCTAATAACTACACATTACAACCTAGTTAACAGTAAGCCCTATTTTAATCTGGAAGCTCACTTTTTTACCTTTCACAACAATACCAGTTCATCTACAATAGTCACCACCACACACCATTAATGATAACTTCTGACTAGTCAGGGATTCCAGTAAATATCAGTCAACCTACATTTTGAGACAGATGGGTACAGGTTTACTTCCCTAAGTTTGGACTACATAGTGGTTTTGCTGACTCTTTCCATCCTCCAGCAGAATATCTAAGACAATGAAGTAAAGCTACAAATTTCTTATCAATTCAAAAAATTAAACTTCGTCTTCCCAATTTGCAAAGAAATTAAATTGACATTGTTATTATTTTAAAAATACTTTTTTAGTTGTAGGTGGACACAATACCTCTATTTTATTTTTATGTGGTGCTGAGGATTAAAGCCAGTGCCTCACACATGCTAGGTGAGCACTCTACCACTGAGCCACAATCCCAGCTCCAACACTGTTACTTTTTAAAAATTATCTGTCATCTGTTCCTACTAAAACCAGCATGCTAGACATCTAATTTAGCACAAAATATCTTAATTACTTGGAATTTTACAAATTGAGAAACCTGGACCTAGCTATCTTTATGGGACGGTGGAGAAGGAGCTAGGTTTTGTTTTTTTGGTATTGGAATTGAACTCAGGGACATATTACAACTGTCCCAATCCTTTTTGCTGAGGCTAGCCTCAAACTTGCAATCCTCCTGCCTCAGCCTTGAGTCACTGGGATTACAAGACATGCACAACTGCACCTAACTATAAACTAGGTTAATGAGAAAGTTAATACTGTAAAACATTTCCCAACCCAGTAAGGTATACTCAAATACTAATGACAATGCCCTGATATCCTCAGTATATAAATTTGTTAAAAATATCTTCCACGCTTCTTTGAAAATAGAACACTATTTGTGATATGTATAGTGCATCCTTCAGAGAAAAAGAAATGCTACTTATGACCATGTAGCATCCTCAAAACATTATGGGCAGAGTACAACCAGAAGAATAAAGACAAAAAGGTGCTAATTCTTGAGTGTTCTGGAACTCCCACAGAAGTCAAGTACCCACCACAGGTTGGTCAGTAGAATCCATCTGAACACAACCAAGTTTTATGCCTACAATTTAAACTTCTGTTCACATACCAACCACATCTAACATGACAATCAGGAAAGATGAGACCAGTTGTCTTTATCAGGAATATGAAAACCCCAAGAGGTAGCAAAGTCAAGAGGTGGTAGGAAATGTGGCTTTAAATTTTTTATTTTTTAGGTGTAGGACACAACACAATGCCTTTATTTTTACGTGGTGCTGAGGATCGAAACCAAGTCCCATCCGTGCTAGGTGAGCGCTCCACTGCTGAGCCACAATCCCAGCCCCAAATATTTATTTTTTTAGTTTAGGTGGACACAATATCTTTTTTTCATTTTTATGTGGTGCTGAGAATCAATAAATCTTTTTTTTATTAAACCAGGTACTGAACTCAGGAGCACTCAACCACTGAGCCACACACCCAGCCCTTTTTTGTATTTTATTTGGAGACAGGGCCTGAGTTGCTCAATGCCTCGCTAAGTTGCTGAGACTGGCTTTTCAATTCGAGATCCTCCTGTCTCAGGACCACCATGCCCAGCAGGACTTTAATTTTTTTTTTTTTTTAGAGAATTTTTTAATATTTATTTTTCAGTTTTTGGTGGAAATACAATATCTTTATTTTATTTTTTTGTGTGGTGCTGAGGATCGACCCCGGGGCCCACACATGCCAGGCGAGCACGCTACCTAAATGAAGAGAGAAAACCACATTCAAGATCTGTGGACCAGGGCTGGGATTGTGGTTCAGCAAAGATTTGTGGGCTAGTGATTTGTGTCTCAGTTATACAACACTTGCCTGGTACGTGTGAAGCACTGGGTTTGAACCTTAGAACCACATAAAAATAAATAAAAATAAAGGTATTGTGTTGTCTATCTACAATTTTTAAAAAAAATTAAACAACAAAAATCTGTGGACTAGTGTTGTCACATAAAGAGGAAGAAAGCACAGAAATTAGCTGGACCCTAAAGCCAGACTGAGCACCTAGTCCTCTCTATTGACTAGGGCAAATTACTTCTTTCTCCCATTTCTTCATCTATAAAATATGGGACTCTCTACTGTCATTTATAAGTTATCTGCCACAAAACCACTAAAATACCACTTTTTAAAAGTGCGAGGGCAGGGGGTTTACGGTTCAGTTGCTAGAATACTGAGACTTTTGAAGGGATTTTAAAAATGTGACCAGAATGTTTCTGATAAGAGACAGGGCGAAGAGAAGGGGTGAAAGCTGCCTTCTTCAATATGAGGTAGTGTGGAAAGAATAGTATATTCAAGGCATATCTAGTACTACAGTCTTGACCATAAACAAGTCACATGACCTTTATGCCTCAATATAAGTAGAGTGTAATATTCTCTATTGAGTGGTATTGTTTTAGGGTAAGGAGAGGTGCATGCCTGTAATCTCGGCTACTCAGGAAGCTTGAGGCATAAGGATTGCAAGTTCAAGGCCAGCCTCCACAACTTTGTGAAACTCTTGTCTCAAAAAGAGTGGGCTGAAGATTTAGATCAATTCCCAGTACTGGAAAAAATGAAAACCTGAAGATAAATAGTATTATTTTAGAATTAGAAAAAAAAATGAGTTGTAATGATGTTATTTACAAACTGATAGTTTATCAAAGTCCATAAGAGAAATAGAAAATCTTTCCAATGTTTGATCACTAAGATCAAGGACTAGGGGTGCACAGCTCAGCAGTAGAGGAAATGCCTGGCATATATGAAGCCCTAGGTATGATCCTCACTACCATACCAAAAAAAAAAAAAAAAGAAAGAAGGAAAAAGATCAAGACGTGAGAAGTTTTTAAAAGTTGAATAATTCAGTTCTGCACTTCTTCCCTAAGTAATTCCTAATCCTTGAAAATTAGCCCAACAGAGACCCAGCAAGCTATTATAACCCCAACTACTCAGGAGGCTAAGGCAGGCAGTTTCAAGTTTGAGACAACCCCCGGCAATTTAACAAGACTGTAAAACAAAAAGGGTTGGGAATATAGCTCAGTGGTGGAGCACTTGTTAGCATGTGCGAGGTGCTGCATTCCTATACCCAATATCACAAAAATAAAATTTTAAAGAGAGAGAGAAGCCCAATGGCATTACCATTTAGCCAATTCCCTTCTGGTTACTAGCATGTGCTGGTTGGAGTGCAGAGGCTTGCACATAGGTAAAAGTAGTTTACCAGAATAATCTCCAAGAATGAAAAGATGGGACTCTGAGATTTTTCAACTTAAGAGTACTCCTGAAGTAGTCTGGCAATTTTAATGAGTAATAGCAATTAACTGGAATATACCTGTATTTATTAACACCAATGTTAGATGAACCTTAAATGCAGCAGAATCCTCAAATAATAGCACAACTTAAGTCAGACGTGCCAATTACTAATTAGGCTTATGTATCTTGATGAGAATGAATCACAATTAGACATTTAATAACACTATAGAAAAGCATTCATACTTGTTAACTTTCTAGGTAACAAAAGTTTTAGTTCAGCAGCCAAAGCAAACATGAAATGAGGAGAGAAAGCAGCAAGAAGGCTAACTGCTAAAGTTTTTTGTTGTTTCTTTTGACTAGGAGAAGGACTGTTTTAGCAGTGTCAGTAAATCTTTAAAGATTTTCTGAAGACTAAAGGAGAGATGCCAGAATTTTTTTTTTTAACTCTGATAGAACATTCAAGATTAACTGCCTTCATTTAAATGGCATGCCTGCTTAAATGTACCAAATTCAGTGGATTCTACTGCTGTTCCTGCTTCCTAATGCAGAGAAAAGAAACCATGTGAACAGTACATTGTGAACAGTAATTTAAAAATCCAGAGGCATGCAAAGTGAACATCCATTCAGCATTCTCTGCCAGCCTAGCCCACTATTTCCTTACCTACCCCACCCCCTCATCCACCTTTTCCATTCTTTTATTGGCTAGTATGGTACAAGTTACTGATTGCTAGCCAAGTTTCAGAAATCACAGTAAAAGACCTATTTTGCAGTTAGTAAAAGCATTAGTTTATAAGCCAGCTGAAGACAACTTGCTGCTTTTTATTTAACTTGCTCAACTTATCCCAACCTTCTTAAACTAATCCCATTTTCATTTTAGCCCTTTCCTAATCCTAAGGCAGACGGAAAATCCTGAATGGAAGGCTGACTTTTACCCATTATTATTAGTGAGTCAAATCCAGAATGTACTCCACCCACTGCAGCTCTTGCATATCCCGGTTACCTTCACCCTCTTTCATCTGTTCTTCTCTCTCTTCTGTCTCTTCATTAGCAGCTATCTTAACTTTGTCTTCAGGTGTTTTCTCTGTGGCCCTCTGGGCTACCTTGGTCTCAACCCCATCTCCAGCTGCCTCAGACTCTTCTACAGGCAGCTTAGTCTCCTCCTGGCTAGGAATTAGCTCTGCCCTGACCTTCTCCTCTACCTCTGAGCCATCTTTTGTTTCTGTCAATCTTTCTGCAGAAGTCTTTGGTTCAACAGGAGTCTGATCTCCTGCAGCTGACAGTCCATTGAATGCAACATCTTTAGAGAAAACGGTGCCTTCCTGCCCTGGCTTCTCAGAGACCTCTGATCCAGCCTCTGCAGCTGAGACCTCTTCAGCTTCTGTTGTCACTACCTCTGACTCTTCAGCAGAATGTACTTCTTGCTCTACCAGTTGCTCAAGGACAGCCTTTCCTGGGTCATTTTCAGAGGTAGCTACTGGTTCCTTTACTTCATTCCCACCCACATCCACTGGCTTGACTGTTGGCTCTACAGATTCTGTTTCTACCTCCACTGCAGTGCCCTGCTTTTCTAGAGTCACTATAGGCTGCTCTTCTGAAGCTTCCTCTGGCTTCTCCCCTATACTCACAATTACTTCTCCCTGCTTCTCCTGACCTCCTTTTTCTCTGCACTCTTCTTTCTCAACTTCAGTTCCAGAAACTGATTTTCCTTCCTCAGCATCTGATGCTTCCTGTTCTGGCTTCTCAGAAGTGACCTCAGGTTCATTCGGTCCTTCTGGTGCTGATGCTCCTTTTGCCTCTTCAGAAGTTTCAGTTAACTGATTTGAAGTCGAGTCAACTTTTTCTTGTAACTTCTCTGCAGGCTCACTTATATCCATATCTTCTCTTCCACCCTTCTCCATTTCATTCTCCTGTTCTTTACCAGTTTCAGGCTTTGCCAAAGACTTGCATTCTGATTTTTTGGCTTCTTTTTCTCCCATGGCGTCATAAACCTGTTCTCTCAACTCTTCCCTTGCTTCCTCTACATGGTTAAAGAACATTAAGCATAAACATGTCTTCGAGTTTAATGATAAAAGCATAAATGGAAACTAAAAACACATTCCCTTAAACCCTCACATGGCCTGGTTTAAGATTTAGCAGATGGCCTAAAAATTTTTATCTGCCCCCTTGAGAAAAGCAAAGGAAAGACAGTCTCAGCTAGCAGAGTTAACTTAATGCAAAGGAAACCAAAGCACCTTAAACTAGATACTCTATTATTTTGCTGTGAGCATTCTGATTACCAGTTAGGTAAAAGATGCCAAGCTTTTCATTCTATTTTAAACATTTCATTCTATTTTAAACCTCTACCTGATTTATAAAATGCTATTAGCCAAACTCAGCTGAGAAATATTCAATTTTTCTTAAACACAAGAAATGTAAAAGGGCTCCAAAAACATTACTTTTAATTGAACTTTACAGACCATTTTTTAAAAATATACATTTAATGTCTTAATATTTAAAACACCTATTTAAATGACCATATTTGTTTAATAAAGTAAGTTATCCTCTCACAAAAGCCTGCTGTCACTTTCATTAATGGGCTACCCCCATTGCAGTCTCTACCAGATGCAGGTATAACCCCAAGCATCTTAGGAGAGACCAGCCAGGGCAGGGAGAGCCCTATTTCCATCACTTGTATACAAGATACAAGGCGTCGCGTCTCTTAAATGTCATGTGCAACTCCACATACCATCTATGTTATCGTTATTTTCTACCAGAGACTCATCTTCTGTTTTTTCTTCTTCTTCTTCCACATGCACACCTTCCAAGGCATTTCCCAACACACCATTCTCCATTCTAGGAGAACAAGAGGAGAAAGCACCAAAGGTTTAACAGCCACAACCTAACGATGTAGCCTACATTACAAAAGCAACAGACAAGTAAGCAAGTTCAGGAAATACAATACTATACATATTCCCATGAAAGGCAATTATCGAAACTTCTAATATAAATTAAGGCTGCAAGAATGCTGAAAGAAATGAGTACACTGCTCATCAAGCCACGTGAAAAGCATTATGAGTCCTATAAAAATAAGACATATTCATTCATTTTTAAAAATTCATTCTTTTAAAACAGAGCCATAAGTAGTTCCCAAACTTTCATCTACCCCCACTTCTTTAGATAAACACTAACACTCTGGCAATAGTTTCACAGCAAATCAGAGTGCTCTAATTATTACAAGATAACAAACTTACCAGAACTGAGATTAAATAAATGACACATCATTTGCTTGGCTGCATATCCTCAATATACTTTATTCTGGCTAATAAATTCTGGTGAATGATATCCAAAAACTTTCTAACAGAAAGACTACTTGGGATTGTTATTTACTAGATATCCTCACATGCTACTTACTTCAAACTCCAATAAGCCCTTATTCAATGACTGTTTTGAGCTAGTTTGGTGCTTTTAAGGGTTTATTATTCTATACTGAACTTTGATCAATTATTACCCATTCACAAATGAAAAGATCTTTGCTTCTAATGATCACAAGTCAAACTTCAATTATTCCTTTTTTATTTTTTTTGGTACCAGGGATCAAACTCAGCAGCACTTGACCACTGAGCCACATCCCCAGTCATAGTTTGTATTTTGTTTAAAGATAGGGTCTCACTGAGTTGCTTACTGTATTGCTTTTGCTGAGGCTGGCTCTGAACTCACTATCCTCCTGTCTCAGCCTCCCAAGCGGCTGGGATTACAGGAACATGCCATTACATATGGCCAGTAATTTTATTCTTTAAATCGTTACAATTTCCATCAATATTTCAAGCTCTTTCATAACCCACTTTTCTAGGTAAAAACGTGTCTAGCTTACTCATGTAAAATCACAAAGCTAGTAAACAATCTTAGCAAACAAGGAAACTTTCATTTTTAAATAGATCGAAGTTATACAAAACATTCTACTAATAAACTAAGAAAAACATACCTTGCTAATTCCAATAGTGATTTTCCATAGAAAAAGAAGGCTTCTCCACATTCATTAGCAGTTTCTCCATACTTCTTACCTCTACAAAAATAATAGACAGCTAAAATCTGAACGTTATTATTTTTTTAAATATTTTTTTTTAGTTATAGTTGGGCATAATAGCATTATTTTATTTGTCTTGCCTCACACATGCTAGCCTCACATGTGCTAGGTGAGCTCTACCGCTAAGCCACAACCCCAGTCCCTGAACATGTTATTAACATTAATGATGCATGCAGTTAATGTTATATCTATATATAATATAATTCTAAGTGATACCAATTTGTTACAGTTAGCGTATACTCTAACAGCCAAATTATATTAATACATATTCTTCCTGCCACAAGATAATGGACCATAATAGTTAAGATGACCTTGGCTGGGACCTAGACATTGAGAGATGATTCCAGAGATCATGTTCTTTATATCATGATGCCTTTCCGTAAAAGAACATGATCTCTGGAGTGAGACTGCCTGAGCACAAAGCTTATCTCTAATCATTAACTGTACAACCTTGGCAGATTACTCATTTTCAGTGCCTTAGTTTTGAGAAAGATGAGATTGTAAAATGGAAATGTACATAACTATTGGTAGCCCACGCCTGTAATCCCAGCAGCTCGGGAAGCTGAGACTTGAGGATCTAGAGTTCAAAGCCAGCCTCAGTAACAGTGAGGTGGTAAGCAACTCAGTGAGACCCTGTCTCTAAATAAAATAACAAATAGGGCTAGCGATGTGGCTCAGTGGCCAAGTGACCCCTGAGTTCAATACCTGGTACCCCCCAAAAAAAGACAAAGCTGGGGTTGTAGCTCGGTGGTAGAGCACCTGCCCAGCATGTGTGGGCACTGAGTTCAAACCTCAGCACCACATAAAAATAAAGATATTGTGTCCATCTACAATTTAAAACAAAAAAAGAAATCACATTAAGTGTGATGAATGGGAAGGAAGAAAGATTTCTAAGACTAGGAGATCAGTTTTCATAGAGTAAAAGACCTCTAGGCATCTAGACGAATGAACTTAAAAACCCATTTTTTTTTTAACATAAAAACACCTAAATGCTTATCAGATAAGAAGTAAGCTCCAACCCTAGCACACCACTAAATACCAGAACCTTAATTCATTAATCCCAGGTAAAGATGATCAAAGAGGCCAGAGGTCAGGGACAAGAGATTATTGTGGACCTCCAGGAATAATATGCAGTTCTGGATGTTGGGAGGAATTGGGCTAGGAAAAAAGTGAGCTTCAAATCTGAAACCCACTGGGTATGGTGGTGTACACCTATAACACCAGCGGCTCAGGAGGCTGAAACAGGGGGATCACAAGTTCAAAGCCAGCCTCAGCAATTTAGCAAGGTCCTAAGCACCTCAGCGAGCCCATCATTAAATAAAATACAAAAAAGGGCTGGGGATGTGACTTGGTGGTTGACTGCTACTCAGTTCAATCCCTGGTACCAAGAGGGTGGTGGTGGGGGACTGAAACTCATAAATGCTTCATATTATGGGTATTTCTTTCCTTTTTTGTCTCTCCACCACATTTTCTGTTTATTTTCTTTTCTTTTTGCAGTGCTAGGGATTGAACTTGGGGCCTTACACATGCTAGGCAAGCCACTGAGCACATCATCAGCCCCATGACTATTTCTTTTATAAGGAAAATTTCTTCACAAAAGCTGAATGAAGGGGCTGGGGTTGTAGCTCAGTGGTATAGCACTTGCCTAGATCCTCAGCACATAAATGATGTTATGTCTATCTACAACTAAAAAAAAAAATTTTTTTTAAAGGTGAATGAAATGTAACCAACTAATTAGGAAACATGATTGATTTCACATGCTGTTAATAATACCATATTAGAGGAAACTAGCTCAAACAAAGTTGTAAAGGAAAAGTGTTTAAGACTTAAAGATTTAACATTCAAGGACTGGGGAGTAGTTCAGTGATAAAGCACTACTGGTTTCAATCCTCTGTGTCACAAATAAATAAATATGCAACATGGGGGAATAAATGTAACTTACTCCCCGCCTTTTTTCTCTCTCAGATCTGGAGGAACATTAAAATGTTTGAGAAGGGATGGAGTGTAGGCTCAATGGTAGAACACTTCCTTAATGTGCAAAGCCCTTAGTTTGATACATAGCACCATTTAAAACAGAAATAATTGGGAAAGCCCTGAATAAGCCAGGCCAAGTTGGTTCCCCTAATTAATTGTGACTGGAATACAATTTACCTTATAAGAAAAATCAAAGGTTGAAAATAGGGCTGGGATGTAGCTCAGTGGTAGCCCACTTGTCTAGCATGCACAAGGCACTTCAATCCCCACACTGCCAAAAGATATATATATATCAAAGGTTGAAATTGCTCAGTAATATTTGGTTTTATACTTACAGGAGTAAACTCCAACATGAAAAACAATCAGTTTTGGGTTTTTTGCAATGCTGAGAATTGAACTAGAGCTTCTTGTAGATTAGGCAAGTACTCTACCACTGAGCTACAACCCAGCCCTTGCTCCCCTTGCTCTTCATTATTTTCCCCCATAGAACAACTTTCTTTTTCCCCTGGTGGTGGTGCCACTGGGGATCAAACTCAGGACTATGTGCTAAAACAACTTTAAGGATTATTGGGAACATAATATTACATATAGTAAACACACAATACTTACAAAAGACTAGCTGCTTCCTGGAATGCATTGACAGCTGCTGGAATATCCCCCATCACTAGATGTTTCTGTCCTAATCCCAATAGTCTTTTAGCTTCACTATCCACATCCAGGCTGCAAGAAAGATTTTAGTGTCAAATACTACTTAAATCAACATTTATTGAATACCTGCTACACTTAAACCATAAATTTTTTGATCCTGTAGTAAGATCTAGGTAACTCACATTTATTTACCACTGCAAAACCAAAGAAACCTTTCCAAATTCCCAGAAGCTTCACTAGAATATTTTAAAGGTTTGTCTACTCACAAAGCCTACATTGCATATTACTTTAAATATTTACTAATTAATTAACAAATAAAGAAATCAAAGGAACCATTAATTCATACAAGTTGTATTAGCTAAAAGAAAAAAATAAAAAAAAAAACTTTAGTAAATAGGGCAAGAGGCAGTGATATAGTGTGGTATTAGTGTAAAGAAAGGCAAATAGGTCAAATAGAACAGAAAATAAAAACAAATCTGTACATATACTGCCAATTTTAGGTGGACACATTATTTTGTTTTTATGTGGTGCTGAGGATCAAACCCAGTGCCCCATGCATGCTAGGAGAGCACTCTACCTCTGAGCCACAACGTCAGCCCTGTGAAGCTCAATTCTTATCTCACACCTTAATTAAAAAAAATTAACTTGAAATGGATCACGGGCTTTCTAAATTTAAGATGTTACAACCTTTTAACTCCTAAGAGAAAAAAATTACAAAACTTTGGGTTTGGTAAGACTTCCTAATCATGAGAGAAAAGTACTATCTTTTTTTTTTTCCATCAATAAATCAGACCTTTAAACTGAAAAACTGGCTTGTTAAAAAAAAAAAAAACAATTTCTTAAAAAGGCAAATATGCCGAACATGGTGGCACAAACTTGTAATTCTAGCAGCCAGAGAGGCTGAGGCAGGAGGATCATGAATTAAAAAAGCCAGCCTCAGCACCTTAGCAAGGCCTTAAACAATTTAATACATAAAAAATATAAAAAGTGCTAGGAATGTGGCTGTGGTTAAGCTGGTATAAAAAAATAAAAAAAACTTTTAAAAAGGAAAACCTCAAAGTAGGAAAATACATATGCAAAACTTCTATGTGACAAAGCACTTTAATAAGCATATGATGGTAAAGTGAACTCATTAGTCATTCAAAAACCCCAAAGTAGGGCTGGAGCTGGAGCTCAAAGGCAGAGCACTTGCCCAGCATGCCTGAGGTACTGGGTTCCATCCTCAGCACCACATAAAAATAAACAAATAAAATAAATGTGTTCTGTCCATCTACAAAAAAAAAAAAAATTATTTTTAAAATTTTTATTTTTAAACATGCAAAGCAGGGGCTGGGGCTATAGGTCAGTGGCAGAGCGCTTGCCTAGCATGCGTGAGGCACTGGATTCGATCCTCAGCACCATATAAAAATAAACAAATAGAATAGAGGCATTCTATCCATCTACAACTACAAAAACTTTTTTTTTTTTTTAAATGCAAAACAAACCCTTCATTCCCACTAGAATGACAAAACACACACACACACACATACACACACACACAAAAAAAAAAAAACAGGCAGGACATGGTGGGACTTCCCTGTAGCTCCAGCTACTTGGGAGGCTACATAGTAGATTCCCAAGTTCCATCTGAGCAGCACAGAAAGACCCTGGCTGAAATAACTATCATATGACCCAAGCATTTCATTCCTAGGTATGCCCATAAAGACTTGGGACATAAATATTCACAGTAGTTTCATTTGTAATCGTCCCAAACTAGAAACCCAAATGGATAAACACATTGTATGTGATATGTCTACATAATGGAATAATGTTCATAAACAAAAAGAATGAACTGGCCAAGCAGAAAGTGGCACACACCAGTATTCCCATTGACTGAGGAAGCTGAGGTAACAGAATTGAGTTCCAAGCCCATCTGGGCAACTTTGCAAGACCCTGTCTCAAATTTAAAAAATAAAAGGGCTGGAGAGGTAGCTCACTAGTAGAGTACTCCTGGGTTTAATTTCAGGTATGGCAACACAAACAAGAGCTCAAAATCAAATTCTTTAACTGGCAATAGATGCTGGTAGTTGCTCTCCCTTTAAGTAACTCACTCAACTTTACTCATTTTTAGAAAAATGTCTGTCATATACTCAAGACTGAAAAATCAGTTGTTCTTTCAGGTAAAACTGAAGTTACAGGAAAAACACAAGTCATTTAACTTTTTTTTTTATTTGTAGATGGACACAATACCTTTGTTCATTTATTTATTTTTATGTGGTGTTGAAGATCAAATCCAGTGCCTCACAAGTGCATCTACTTCAATAATATACAAAGGGCGGCCTGGCATAGTGGCACATACTGGTAATCAGAATACTAAGGCAAGAAGATCAAAAGTTCAAGGCCAGCTTCAGCAATTTAGGGAGACCCTGTCTCAAATTTAAAAAATTAAAAAGGGGCTTGGGATGAAGCTCAGTGGTACAGTGGCTCTAGGTTCAATCCCCGTACAAACACACACACACACACACACACAAACATATGTGAGAAGGGCTTTAATCTATAATTCATATTTTGTCAGACAGAATACTACAAAGTCATGTAGTGAAAGACTGAGAATTAGTAAACTTCTTAGTTTGTAGTGCTTCATTATGGACATTTCTAAGTGAAAATGGTAGTGAAGAACAAAAAAGCTACAGTACTGTTTGGTGCTGTTACCTTGATTTATGTTATGAGGACATCAGATTTATCCACCATTGGTTTTACAATATTAATGCTATTGATCAACACAATGAAAGAGGCAAAGAGTCTTGTTATTATGAAATATGGTATCAATGAATCCCTGAAAGGGTCTTGGGACCCCAAGGATGTACAAGAAAAAACTTCTGAGGGACTAGGGTATAGATCAGTGGTAAGGGGATTGTTCAACTCAAGCACTGTAAAACAAAAATAAACACAAAAAAATCTTTAGTAATGCTAAGAGGATGAGGATAAACAGACATCCAAAAAGGGAGAACATATAGGTACAGATTTATAACAATGCAGTATTAAGTAATTTCTCCTCCTATTGCTTATTCACTCAAAAAACCAAAACAGCAAACATAAAGCAAAATCATCATGTAATGATGTAATGGTATTGAATGTTTTAAATCTAAATGAAGAGCACAGGGCTTGATGATGCATGCCTGTAATCCCAGCAGCTCAGGAGGCTGAGGCAAGAGGATCGCAAATTCAAAACCAGCTTCAGCATAAGCAAGGCACTAAGCAATTCAGTGGGACTCTGTCTAAATAAAGTACAAAAAAGAGCTGGAGATGTGGCTCAGTGGTTGAGTGCCCAAGTTCAATCCCTGGTACCTACCACCTCCCTCCTCCGCCCAAAATTAAAAGACTAAATGAAGAAAAAGTTGTTCAGCAGAACTTGTTAAGCATTAGTGAGGACAGGAGCAAAACTAAGTAAAACTTCCACTTCTTTGTTGGTATTTTTTGTATGTGGTACTAGGTTTGAACCAGGGGCACTTTACCACTGAGCTATATTCTCAGCCCTTTATTTTACTTGAGACAATGTCTCACTAAACTGCTAAGGCTAGCCTTGAATTTGTGATATTCCTGCCTCAGTCTCCTGAGTAGCTGGAATTACAGGTAAACCCACTGTGCCTAGCCAATTTTAATATTTTAATCAAATGCAAACATTCTGAAGACATTATTGTCTAGACACTGTTCAGTCTTAATTGTTTCATTAAAAATAATGAAACTGAGACTGGGGATATAGCTCAGTAGTAGAATGCTTGCATGAAGTCCTAGTTTCAATTCTTTTTTTTTCCCCTTTTTGGTACTGGGCATTGAACCCAGAGGTGTTTTACCACACTGAGCTATATCCCCAGTCCTCTTTAAGACAGGGTCTCACTAAGTTGCATAAGGCCTCAATTTCTAAGGCTGACCTCCAATTTATGATCCTCCTGCCTCAGCTTCCCAGTTGCGGGGATCATAGGCAAGCAACCCCACACTCAGCCCTTAGGTTCAATCCTTAGCAGGGCAAAATAAAAATCATGAAACCAGCTACCCTCAGGTTATACTGCTTTGTGTTTCAGATGTGAATCTAATTGAACTATGTAAATAATCTTACCTTTTCACTTTATCTGCAGAGGTAGAAGGAGCTGGAGCATCTTCAATTCTACAATGAAGAATAAAGGGAGAAAAAGTAAAAATGGAGACTATTTTAAGCCTGGATATTAAGTAAACTCAGGAAAACATAAAGGAATAAATAGTTGTCATCTGCTGGATGTGTCAGTGCCCATCTGTAATCCCAATGACTAGGGAGGTTGGGGCAGGAAGATCACAAATTTGAGGCTAGAGTGGGCAATTTAGCAAACCCTGTCTTGACATAAAAAATAAAATGGGCTAGGGATGCTGCTTAGTGGCAAAGCATCCCTGGATCTCATTCCCAGTACTGCTGTGGGGAGGGAGTTGTCCTTTATTAAACACTCAATAAGAACCAAATATTACTGATTTATTTACATTGTCAAATTTAATCCTTGCCCAGTCATACATAGGGGGTTGAAAATAAGCAGCAACTTTCACAGCTAAAGTCACAGACTATTGCCCAAGAGTCCTTGATTCCATATCTGCAAACTTTCTGCCTCAGGCAATTATGTTCAAATAGTGTTTGTTTTGCAGTGATGCTAGGGATCCAACCCAGGCCTCATGCAGGCTAGGCAAATGCTCTACCACTGAGCAACATCCCCAGTCTTTTATTAAGGGGTCATTCTGACCAAATGGCCTAGTACAGTGCTTCTCAAACTACTGTTGAGGGACTAAGTTTCTCATTTCCAATCTGTAGATGGGGTTTTGTAAGATACAGTAGAAATGCCAGGGTAATGTCAAATTGCTTTATATTTCTAAATATATTCCAACATTTTTACTTATCTCTATATACCAGTAATAGTTCAAAAACAAACACTAGTCTATTTGGTATAACACAAATGTCCAAAGTTTGTACAGCAAAAAATAAACACATCAATGCTGCACATTCATACAATACCAACTTTCACAGCTAGTCATGATAGGATTAACAGAGACTATATTTTCCCTTCCATTTCAAATAACTTAAAACATGGCCGATGTCTATCTAGAGGCCTGTTGCCATTTCTGTCTTCAGTGAAATTTTTGTCCCCAAGAAAGTATAACAGATTGAGTTGGTGTAGTATATTCTTGGTTATCAAAAAATACTCATGTAGCTTCGGGATTTTGAATTGGTGAATATTCATGATGTGTGGAAAAGCATGATACACACCACAATCTCAATTACACAAAATGGGATATTGTGTATATATGCACACAACCTAGAGGGACACGTCCAACTAAGCTTCTTGTGACTGGATGATTTTGTTCTTTGATTTTTTTTTTCCTGTAATGTACAATTTACTTTTAAAAAATAAAAATTATTTTAAAAACCTGTAAAAAAAAAAAAAACATGGCCGAAATACATGGATTATCAGTTTTCAGACACTGAACAACTAGACAATGATCCAAGAAGAACAAGGTGAGCCTTCTGAGTGCCCCAAATTCCTGCCTAGAGTTTCAACCAGAACACAGAAGAAACTCAAACAGACTCTAATAAACACACATAACTAAGGAGACTTTGGGAAGCCCCAAGGTAGCCAGAATTAAAAAGCAAGCTGTAGAAATCTGCAGAGTTCCTCCAGGCTTTGGTTAGGTGCTAATCAGCTTACTGAGGAAGAAAACTACTGAGGGGGCCTCAGTGATAGATACTTTGCATAGAAGCCTTGCAGAAAAACAAGCCTCAAAAGGAATGAACTAGCCAGATGTAATGGAGCATGCCTATAACCCCAGTGATTGGGGAGGCTGAGACAGGAGGATCCCAAATTTGAGATCAGCCTTGGTAACTCAGTGAAGAGCTCAGTAACTTTGCAAAACCCAGTTTCAAACTAAAAAAATAAAACAGACTGTGAGCCGGGCATGGTAGTAAGTACCTGTAATCCGAGCAGCTCCAGAGGCTAAGGCAGGAGAATCAAGAGTTCAAAGCCTGCTTCAGCAATTTACCAAGGCCTGAAGTAAAAACCTGTCTCTAAAAAAAATATACAAAAGGGCTGGGGATATGGCTCAGTGATTAAATGCCCTGGATTCAAGCCCCGCCCCCAACAAAAAAAAGCCCGCATGTGTGCATGGTGCATGTGTAGTTCAGTGGTAAAGTACCCCTGAGCTCAATTCCCAATATCACAAAAAGAAAAAAGAAAAAAAAAAAAAGAAATTTTAAGTATTTCCAAAGAACTGCATCTCAGAATGTAACCAAAAATATGCATTTATAGGTGTATATAATATATTCAAAGAATTTTAAAAATCTATTTAATCCCTAGCGCACTGCCTCACCCCCAATTCCAGCAACCAGGCAAACAAGGAAACAAAAACAGGAAACCCATATTGGGCAAGAGTGGGGGGGAGATGAACAGAAAATCATCCAGAAATGACACAGAATTAGATACTGATACTAAAACAATTATAAATATATTCCACATGCTCACAAAGGTAAAAATTAAAAGCATGATAAATTATAATATTTTTTTGTAAAGACCCAAAAATCAAACCTCAGGAGATAAAAAGTATACCTGACAGGATTAACAGATTAGATCCTACAGTATAAAAGATTCACGAACTTAGACACAGCAGTACAAACCATCTGTAATGAAAATACAGAGGCAAAATGAAAAAAAAAACCATAACATGTCCAAACTGATATGTAATGTTCTTCACCATGTTGAGTATGAGGAAATTAGACATACCTATATACTATGATTCCATTTATATGAAGTTCAAAACCAAGCAAAACTATACTGTGATGTTGTAAATCAATTCCTATTTTATGGAGAAGAAGCTTGCCCAGTTACAGGGATCATTTAGTAACCTATATCACCCCTATCATAATGCACTATATTCCAATTATCTATCAATTTTCTGCATTCCTGCCAGGACAAGCACAAGGCCTGGCATTTAAATAGTATTTATTAAAATAAGTGACTGGGCTGGGGTTGTAGCTCAGTGGTGAAACACTCACCTAGGACATGTGAGGCACTGGGTCTGAACAAGTAAAATAAAGGTATTGTGTCCACAACTTAAAAAATAATAAGTGACTGATGCTTAATCACCAGGATTAAAGGCAAATGACTTGCCACTATAATTATAGTAAAGAGTATCTATCTTGCAGAACTACCTATTAAATGAGAAAGTCCATAAAGTGCTAGTACAATAGTAGGGATGTAAAGAATTCTATATAGATTCTAGCAATTGTTAGCAACAAAATAAAGAAGATAGGGAAAAAAATGGAGGTGGTATCAAAGAAAAAGAAGTTTGAAGAAAGAAGTAGCTATAGTATCAATGCAGCAAAAAGGTTAGGAACTAATTAGAAAACTAAGAATAAGAACTAATTTAGTATTTAGACAATAATTTAAGTTTAAATGACATAAAGGGAACGCAGCAAACTGAAACAGTTGAATAAATGTGCATACTCAGTACACTACACACTTGTCCTATTAAATTGTGGTTGGATGACCAGGAATTGAGATCTTATTCATTTCCCTAACACCTAACATTAAAATATACATTTAAATACATCTATTAAAAAAATTAGCAAACAGTAAAAAAATGGAGATTTCTAGGAATAGACTCTTATCTGAAGTTTGTGAAGGGAAATGAAGATAACAGCTAAAGAGATGATAGAGAAAATGTCATGTGTTTTGGATGGTTGAATATAGGGATTATGTGCCAATCAATAGAGGGGAAAAGGAGAGGAGGCTCCAAGAGACCAAACAAGTAGTGGCTACTTGGACAACTAGGTATTATAAATGCAAATTTCCAGTTGTAACTAGGTAAAGTAATGCATGCTTGTAATTCCAGCACTCAAGCAAACCAAGAGGCTGAGGCAGGAGGAACACAAAGTCAAAGCCAGCCTCAGCAATTTAGCCAGACCCTATCTAAAATACAAAAAGGGCTGGGGATATAGCTCAAGATACAAATGCCCCTGGGTTCAACCCCAGTACCACAAAAGTAAACACACACAAATACTTAAATTGTTTCATCTTCAAGGCATCTTTTTCTTTAACATAAACCTTCACTCTGCAAAATATTCTATTTAGGTTTTTTGGGGGAGAAGACTGCTAAGTTCCACAAGAGGTTTCAACCCTCTAGGCATCTATTCTGTTACATACAGTAAAGAATCTGAACAAACATTTAAAGCAGAAAAGTATACAACAGTAATGACTGACCTCCCTTTAAATTCTTGCATACAACACTGACAATCATACAACATCCCCCCAGAATAGTCTTTTCATCCTTCAAAATAACTATTACCTTTACTTTTCTCTCCTCAAATCTTCTACACATTATTTCACTCCATCTTGTAAGCAGACCTTGCCTCATAGTTCCCTAAGCAAAAAAGAAATCCCCCTTCCTCAACCACCCAAACTGCCAATCTCCTTGTAAGACTTGCTATTCTCTGCTATTCCTAGTTCCATGAATGAAATTTCCTTGCTAAAACTGCTCCCTCCTACCATACAATCTTTGAAGTCATCCCTGACCACCCACTTACTCATATTATCGTTTTAAAATAGGACACGTTAATATGCCTGCATAGCACTTAACACTGACATTCTCTCATCTATATATTTATTGTCTTTACCCCAGAAATGGAAACTACATTTGCAAACAGTATCTTAACCACTCAACAGCACCTTAAGGACAGTTTGGTACTAAAAAAAAAAAATTACTCATTAATATAAGAAAGACATACACACAACCTGGGAGGGAGAATGGATCTTAACATGTTGAACTTCCCCTTGATTATCACCATTTTACAAATGGGAAAAATGAGGTTCAGTGGCAGAGTCCAAGTAGAATCCAGTTTTCTTGACTCCTAGTCATGACAGAAACAATATCCCCTGTCTTTCTCCATACAAAGTTATATATGGCCTTATAAATAAATACAAGTTTGCCATGCACAGTGGCAATTCCAGTTATTCAGAAGGATGAGGCAGGAGGATTCAAGTTCGAGGCCAGCCTCAAAGTTAGCAAGGCTAACACAAAATAAAAACTTAAAAAGGGCTAGGAGTACAGCTCATTTGTAAAGTGCCCCAGGTTCAATCCCCAGCACCTTAAATAAAT